AACCTCTTAAACATGATTATGCTGGTATAGTTACTTATCGTAATAGATTACGTGACGTTTTATTGGAAGGTGTTGATATTAAATGGGGTAAAAAATGTATTGGATATGAGGAATGTGAAAATGGGGTTTGGGCTTTATTCGATGATGGAACGAGAGAATTTGGAGATTTATTAGTTGGCGCTGATGGAATTAATTCTCCAAGTAAGCTATATAATAAAATTTATTTACTGTATTTGCTAAATAAAAAAAAAAACTAATTATATTACTTTTTTATTTTATTTTATTTTTTTTAATTATAGTTCGAAAACAAAAAGTTCCTAACTTGGAAATCTTTGACATTGGAGTAATCGGTGTCGATGTAGATATTGCTTTACCAAAAGGCCTGGCAGATAAAATGATGAAAGTTTATTCAAATTCAATGAGGCAAAAATCACTTGGTCGAAATGGAGATATGTTTTTTTCTTTGATACGATTAGTACCAATCGATCAATCTGATAATACAAGTTATAGATTTACACTTACATATCATTACCCTGCAATACTTGATATTGAAGATAAAAATATTTTAGTTGACGATGATAATCCTGTATCTGTTATTAAACATACAATTTCAAAAATCAAAAAATTACGTCCTCCTTGTGAATTAACTGATATGATGATTGAAATATTTTCTTTGGTTCCACTTTCGGATCCAGGAGAGAAGGATCCGTCTAGAAACTATAATCCTCCACGACGTCGTCAACTTCGTGATATTGATCCATTATCTGTGCCACCTTGGAAAGATGATAGAATCATTTTGCTAGGTGATGCCGTTCATGCTATGAATCCAGAATTAGGATTAGGTCTGCATTTATTAAAACTGACTTTATGAAAAATCTTATTAACCCTAATATTCAGTACTTACTTATTTTACACACATATATATTTTTTAAAGGTGCAAATAACGCGATAAAAGATGCCGAACTGTTAACTAAGGAATTAATTAATTCTGAAAATAAAGATTTAATCGAGTGTATTCGACAATATAACGAACAAATGCGAGTTCGATCATCTAAAGACGTTCTAGCGTCACGTAACATGGTACTAAAGCAACGAGAACCAGTGGGTGATTTTGGTTTAATTCTTAGATATTCTTTTTTTAAAGTTCTTTCTGCCTTTTTATACGTTTCTGCATTTATTAAAATCCATACCTAATGTTAGTTTGCATAATATTCATTATTCATTCATATATTCATACTTTAAATCTAATAAATTGTATCATTTACATATTATATAAATAAATATTTAAAGATACTGTATATACCTGAGTATTAAGAGGTGAATCAGTTAAATTATATAAAAAATATCATATAGTCAATTTCATACTATATAATGAGATGTTTTTTTTTAATAGTAGTCAAAGTAGTTTTAAACTGTAATTGATAGTAAAAATGATTATATAAATAAGAGTTAATTAAAAAAAGTTTAATTCAAAAAAAAAAGTTATATCACTTATTTCAACTGTTCCAAATATCTAATATTCATTTTTGTAAAATACAATCTCAGAATTACTTCAAAGTTATTTTTACAGCTGTTCTCATATATTCTGAATTAAGCATTAGCCAGTATGACTGTTGAAAGCTATACTACTTCACCAACTTGGGATTTCTACTATGCAGATCCTCTGTCTATAGATCCTATCAAGATTTATTCATATAATATTACATCTATTCAAACATTGCATCATACTTCCAATATTTGGATAATATTGGTGCAATGTGATTTACAAGGTTACAATTCCAGAAACAGACAGGGTTTACTATAAGTTGAGTACAAAGATCTGAGTAATTATTCAAATTCATTAACAGTGAGATTCAAACCTCAGACCTCTTGCATGGTGATCTGGTAACCTAACTACTATACAAATATCACTAGATCTCTTAATATAGAAAGTATAATATTATATTATATAAATAATCTTAATAAAATAATAAAAAATAAAAAATCTATATAGTAAAAATTTTAAATAGTAAAGTAATATAAACTTTTAATAGATTATACTAATAAAACTTAATTCAAAAAAAATAATCTTTATCTCTAAGAGTACAAATAAATCTGATCTGAGTATTAGTAATACTAATTTAACTTAATAGATAATTAGATTTAAAAATATCTAACTAGATTAAAAAAACAATTTTTGATAAAAAATAATTTATATAAATATTACAAAAATTTAATTAAATAATTCTATAAAATAAAAATAGACTATTCTAGTAGATTTATTTCAAAGTTAACTAACTAACTAACTACTAAAAAAATCCAAAATAACTAAATTATACTAGTAAAAAAATAACAAATAAACTGCAAATCAAATATCTGATTTTAAACTAATTACTATCTAATTGCTATTTGATTTATGCAAAATTTTTATGCACTAAAATTTTGCATAAATCAGATAGCAATCAGATAGTAATTAGTTTAAAATCAAATATTTGATTTGTAATCTATTTGCTATCTTTTTACTAGCATTATAGATCTAATACAAATCAATTGACTTTAGTAATTAAATATATTAATAAGATTATTTAATATACTATATAAAAGTTATATAATTAGAATATTTAAATAAATAATCTACAAGCAGATTAAGGTATAGCAGTTAATATAAAACAATTAGATCATATCTGTATATAGATTATTTAATTAGACAATAACTAAAATTATATATATAACAGATTGTATACTCATTATGTAACTGTAATACGTACTAGATATTTATCTATGTATAATTCTAATACAAATTAATAAAATCGTATTAGCAATATAAGCTGTTTTAAAAGTCAAAAAAAAAAGATTTATTATTATAAGTAATATAAAATTGGTCAAAAATAAACACTTATAAAATTTATATAATAAAATTTAAAAAAAAATTTAACCAATCAAATTATAAGAATTTTGCTTCAAAAATGGGACAAATGTAGTCTTTAAGTGGTCATAATATAACAATGTAACAATTAAGCATCGTGCAGTGATAAGATGCATGATGCCCATCTCTGATAACATAATCATTAAACGATCTTAAAATGAATTTTTTTTTTTTTTTTTACATATGCTACGTAAATTTTTGAATGTATTAAAAGATTTAAATCATAAAAATGATTTCTGCCATCCCGCATACGTACTGCATTTAGATTTCTGTGCAAATATGGAAAATAAACGGAGATTTGATTGACAAGTTCAATAATTATGTGGACTTTACAGTATATTGCAGCCAAATGCCTGGATATAATATAGTACGTATAGGTGGGGATGACGATACGTAGCTTTTAATATACTTTTATTTATATATAGGCAGTGACCATGCCCACCAATACAATATTATATCCATATAAAAAAACCTAATGACTTGAATATTCGAATTTTTTTTTTTTTAAAAAAAAAAAAAAAAAAATGGAAACCCCTAAGAATACGATTCCAACAATTTTAATTATCGGAGCTGGTATAGGTGGACTTAGTTTTTATCAATCTGTTCGAAAAAATCTTAATCAAAAATTTAATGTTAAAATATT